TTCAAGGTCAAAATGTTAATTTACATTTATCTCAAAATCGGATTTTTTAAAATTATTTTTAACTATCTCAATGGAAAGCTTGACTAATTTCCTACAAAACATGTAATTTTCAGAGTGGGATCTTTTAAAGTTTTTGAGGTATTAATTAATTAATTAATTAATGTTTATAACAAATGAAATATTTTACAAACGAATAAAGTTACCGTAATTCTGAAGTTAGTAATTGAAAGTTAACGTAATTCCGCATCCAACGAGCCCTATATGAAGTATTTTGGATAAGTAGATTGTTAATAAACAATTAGTTAACATTGCAATTGTTTATTAACAATCTACTTATCCAAAATACTTCATATAGGGCTCGTTGGATGCGGAATTAGCTTAACTTTCAACTGGTAAGTTTAGATTTACGATAACTTTATTTGTTTGTGAGATATTTCATTTTTTATTGTTATTTAACTAAAATTGAACAAAAATACTTTATATAGGGCTTTTGGATGCTTGTTGTTAGTAAAAAATAAAATATTTTATAAACAAATAAAGTTATGGTAATTCTGAATTTACCAATTGAAAGTTAAGCTAATTCCGCATCCAACGAGCCCTATATGAAGTATTTTGGATAAGTAGATTGTTAATAAACAATTGCAATGTTAACTAATTGTTTATTAACAATCTACTTATCCAAAATACTTCATATAGGGCTCGTTGGATGCGGAATTACGTTAACTTTCAATTACTAACTTCAGACTTACGGTAGCTTTATTCGTTTGTAAAATATTTCATTTGTTATAAACATTAATTAATTAATTAATTAATACCTCAAAAACTTTAAAAGATCCCACTCTGAAAATTACATGTTTTGTAGGAAATTAGTCAAGCTTTCCATTGAGATAGTTAAAAATAATTTTAAAAAATCCGATTTTGAGATAAATGTAAATTAACATTTTGACCTTGAATTTCAAGGTCAAATGTTATTTAAAAAAAAAAATTTTATTAACAGCGTGTAGCTCGTCAAAAAAGCTTTAAAAATCATTATATATATGTTAACTTTTATGCATTCTACTTATAAATATTGTACATTGAAAAATTTTTTTTTTCAAAAGTCAAAAATTAAAAACGTTGTAATTTAAAAACTATTTTATTAAATTCAATAATAATTGATTTTTAGACTTTTACCAACAATAACAACATTTTAGAAAAGTATGGATTAAATTCGAGAACTTTTAATTTTTTGTTCGGACATTTCAGGAATTTTGCCTCATATACCTATTATTAATTTATTACTTCACTGATGCAGAATTATTATTATTATTGATATTATTATTATTTTAAAACAGTCATTGCATTCAAAGTTGGACGCGCGCTTAATTTTGCTAGTCCCATTTAATAAATTTAAGAAATAAATAAAATATTGTTATTAATATTATTTAAGGTAAGAGTTAATAATTTAATAAAATTGAGATTGTAGTAACCTACAAATATATATGAAGTAATTATATTGAACTATCTGTACTATATATTATTTTCATTAGGTTTGATTAAAAACTTTATTTTAAATTGTTTATATTTTTAAAATACAAATGAATATCACTTTACAACTCACGATATCTAAATTCAATTTTTTGTATCTGTACCATGATGCAGATGGAATTTCATCAATAGATTCAGGTTCTAAATACTCTTTGTATCTCCTAGATCTTTTCATTTTAAATTCTGTAAAAAATTTAAATATTTGTATAAAAATTTACAACATATACATTTATTTCTTCATCACATATTTAAAGAAAAATGTTTAATAATTTTTTAAATTGTAATTATTTTATTTTAATATCAATTTTAAATAATACTAATATACAAATTTTAAACAAACTTAAAAGATGAAAGAATATTTTTTATATATGATATGTTGTATTTATATGGTACTTACTTTTTCAAAAAATAATAATCATGAAGTAAACAATTCCAAGTTAACCAAAACACATAAAAATCAATAAAAGTTTGAAGATATTGTACAAAACTTTAAAAAGATTTTCAGCTCTTTAACACTTTTTACAAAATGAAGAAGTTTTTAAATTTGTAAAAAAACATTACTAGTATTTTTAATTTATATTTCGGACCAGTAAAGAACATAAATTTAAAATAAAGATGTCTATTTTCATATCAATATTTTTTCTGTCAAAATATGTCTCTGTCATAAGAAACAAGATAATGTACTGGATTCAATTTTTTAGTTACCATAGTTACATTTAAATACGAATGATCATAATTAAGTTTTTAATTAGAAAAAGTTTGCGTTTTATTTGTGGAAAAAATTATTAAAAATATCTATCACACACGCATACGTATATTATACTAACGGAAAGTATGAAATTGTGCTTGTTACTTTTATTTCAAAATTTTCCCTAAAGCATGAAAAAGAATTCCAAAATAATAAAAAGTATAAAGAATGGTTTAGAAGTGATTCCAATAAGAACAAAATTTTACTCAACGCTTACATTTTATTACTGGGAAGTAAGTATGACTATTTTTAAATAAATTAAGAGTTTTTAAAAGTTTTAATTTTTAAATATTTATTGATTAATACAAATTCTTTATTAACTTCAATTAATAACCTCTTTTATTAAAAAAAATTCTTCTTTTTTACTCTAGCTTATTTTTATTGACCTTATTTATTATCTGGTAATAGAATTTATTAAACATTTCTAAAAAAATTAAGTTTTAATATTTTAAGAAATATATTTACTACTACTTTTAACCTAATTTTATTCCAGAAAATAATATGATATTTTTATTTTCCTTATTTTCGTTATTCGCTGATGATTTAAAAATTTATAAATCAATTTCTTGCGCTCAGGAATATTTGGATCTGCAATCAGATCTAGATCAGCTGCACTTGTGGTCTGTTGAAAATAATTTATTATTCAATATTAACAAGTGCAGGGTGATGTCTTTTTCCAGATCAAATGAAGTTCCTGATCGCATTTATAATATTGGTAATGTTGAACTGTCTAGAGTTCTGAAAATAAGTGACCTTGGGGTCCTACTGAACTGTTCTTTCACTTTTAATGATCACATTACATACACTATCAACAAAGCTTCCAGAGTTTTGGGGTTCGTCATCAGAAATGCATCACATTTTAGAAATGTTCGAGCCATTAAATTATTATTTTTTACTCTCGTTAGACCAATTATTGAATTTGCGTCGATATTGTGGTGGCCCTACCAAGATTATCTTATGACTGAGATTGAGAGAGTCCAAAATAGGTTCTTGCGTTTTCTTGCGAAGCAAACCGGAGTACCTCACGACTTATATAGTCATGATTATGCCGACCTCAAGTTATTATTTAATATCCCATCTCTGTCCCAACGATTTTTATTTAGCGATCTTCTTTTTGTTTTTAAAATTATAAACGGTTTATTGAATTGTACAGATCTTTTAACTCTTTTTGGACTTTTTGTACCTAAATGATTTTTAAGAGATGTTCCTTTATTTAAATTGCCATTTGCCAGAACTAATTATCTGGGTAACTCGGTAATTCATAGACTTATTCGTGAGGCAAATCAATATAAAAATGATTTAAATTTTTTCGGTGTTTCGTTCAATGTATTTTCTAAAGAATTACGCAATCTAGTATTTATAACCATGACTATCGACCTTTGTAATTTTTTATTCACAAATTGCATTTGTTGACGAAATTCAGTCATTCTTTAGTTTCGCACTAGAAAACTAAACAAAAAATTTTTATTATTGAAATTTTTTCTCTGTAAGCTTACTTTTCACTAAATGACATACATAAACTGAATTTGGTTGTTAAAAACAAATGCAAGTAACATGTCAAATATTGTCAAAAGTGAAATAGAGAATAAAATGTCAAATTACTTTTTATTTATTTTAAATGAAAGTTTCATATTGATCTACAATTTTTAAAAAAGTTATGAATACTTTAAAAGTAAAGTTAACAGTAAGTTCGATGAATTTAATTTAATTGAAATGTTTATATTTAGCAATGAAAAAATCGTAAACTAAATCCATACAGGAATTTTGAAAATTATTATAAATCGACAAAAAGAAAATTCTTTAAGAACTTTGAATAATCTGATTCAGTAAGATAATTTATTATTTTATAATATATTTTTTACTATTTAATTTAAATATTCAATTATTAAAAAAAATATATATATATATATATATATATTTATATTTCTACATATGTTTATTTTTTAAAATGATATCTGAAGAAATAAAAAATTTTGAGTTTAATATAAGCTTTATTTATATATTTTCCACAGTTTTAATTGAGTAAAATTAAAAAAATTAAATTTAAAGTTTAACAATAGAGTTTGGTGTTAGCTAAAATGAAAAACATTTAATTAATCAATACATGAATATTAATATATTATAGTTATATTTCATTTTCTCATTGTCTTTTTGTTCTTTTCATTAATAAAATTTCTTGTGAATCTAACATTTCCAATAAAATACCAGGTTCTTTTATGATAAAATAATAAATTTTTATAATTTCGTTGTTAAAACTTTCAAAATTGGAAAAAAAATTAAAAAATATAATATCAATAATATATTCGTCGATTGAGGGCAGAAACACGCCAATTCAGGTGAATGTTGAAAACATGACAATCTAAAAAATATTAGGGAAACCTGTCATTTCAGTGAAGATTTCAAAAACATGCCATCTCAGATGTCAAATTTTTGTTGATTGTTTTAGGTTGGTAACACTGTAAACGAAAAATTGATGAGTCAAAATAATTAATATTTTTATGAATATTGATGGCTAAGTCGGTAGAACCTTTAATAATTTTATTATTAATAATTATACTTTTCTTAATTTTTAATATTGATTTCAAGAATAAAATTTTGTTAACTATAATATAACATTCTCAAGAAAGTGTTACCAACCTAAAACAATCAACAAAAATTTAATATCTGAAATGGCATGTTTTTGAAATCTTCACTGGAATGGCAGGTTTCCCTAATATTTTTTAGATTGTCATGTTTCTCAACATTCGCCTGAATTGGCGTGTTTCTGCCCTCAATCGACGATTTGTCATTCTGGCACGTATTTATTAATTTGCAAACTTCATCACAAATTAAGATGAAATTTACCACTTCTTGTTCAAATTCTCTGTTTGAAATCAAATTGATTGCTTCCCTTGAAATTCCATATTCACGACGTTGGACAATATCTCACATTATATTCAAGTTTCTAAGGTAACATCTGAAGCTGTCACGATAGCTGCACCACCTGGTATCACCAGGTAAAAAGATTCTAATACCGCCTCGATTTATCAATTCTCTTTCTAATTTTGGGGTTTTAAATTCTTTGAAAACTGAAACGAGTTCTGCATTAAAAGACTGGCCAATTAAACTTTTAGCCAGCAAATTACCACTATGACTATGGCATGTTCCAAACCAGCAGTCAATATTATTTCCCACTGAAGTCATAGAAGCGACATTGTCAGTAACAACGGCATAAATATTGGTATTGTACTCTTGTTTTGCATAGATGATAGCTGAATCTATAACTTCTTTTAAAGCTGTAGCAGTTTCACTGTTTTGGGTAAAATCCCAAGAATCTAAAAATACTTTACTGCCATTTGTTTTATGAAGAATTCCTACGACGTATTTTTCGTTTTTTTCTCGCCAACTCGGGATAAATTTTGTTGACATACTTTATTGTACACCGTATTTAGTAAAGAACCGCTTAAAGTATTTCTTGATAGTGGTTTATAATTCGGATTCAGCTTTGTCAACAAATGTTTAAAATGATCTGAATCCACTGTCGAAAATGGAATATTACATCCAAAGAAGAACATTGCTAAAGCATCATCAATTTCTGATGTATAATTTATCGAAAATTTAGGAGGGTTAGCAGGAGTTTTACTTTCCTGTAAAAGAAAATTAAAAAAATGTTAATTCTTATATAACAATTTAAAATATTACACATTTATATATACCTATGTATACATTCTCAACTTACTTTTCGCCTTTTTGAAGGAATGTTGTAAAAGTATCTTGTCGCATACTTATATTTTCCGTCGATAATACATCTGGAATTTAATCCTTGCAGACAGTTCTTAAATAAAATAATTATTCTTATTTAGATTAAGTTACTTTTAAATAGCTTCAAATCGTTAGGTATAGCTTACTTTTATACATGTATTTTTTTATATATTAATCATTAAATTATAGAATAATAATCTTTGTATTCATTCCTTCATTCATTCACATTTTCATAGTACTTGAATTTTCTCATTACTATTAGATTATATATAGGGGAGGGTGGGGCAAGGATAGTTAAGGGGCAAGGATAGTTAGTGGCTCTAATACAGAAACGGCTGGTCAAAAAAGGGGTCATTTATCATGTACACTTGTCTTAACACCAAAAGACGACAGTAAAAATTTGAACTTGCGGGGACACTATTTGTAGAAGCTACGTGCCCATTTGTGTTAAATCTCAGTTTTGCTAAAATATTTTCACCTTATTTTTATTATTCAATCTTATTTTTGCGGATATAATTTATTAAATATATTTGGTTGCGTAAAAGTTTTATGGTGTAAAATTTTGTGCTGAAAACGAATATCATATTCGTTATTTAAAAAAAAAATTTTTTTGTACTAAAAATTTGTGATAATTCGAAAAAAGCGCTCACGGGGCAAAACTAGTTAGTGCCTTGTTGTAATACTTATGACAAGGTAATGTCTGGCTAACACAATTTTTTAATTGCAAACGAAATGCTAATTGCTTTTTATGGATCGCGATTTAATAATTTTTTTGTTTTTCAAAAAATTCACAAAAAACATGTTTTTTTGATAAAAATGCTCATCCTTAACTGCTAAGTTGTATTAAACATGATTCGATTTAATTAGAACAATAATTTTTATTGTTAAGTCTTGACAAATATAAGTCGATAACTTGAAACAATGGAAAATCAAATTTCATGATTTTTTGTATCATTCTTAGTAAAAACAAATTTTCAACTATCTTTGCCCCACTAGTGGGGCAAGGATAGTTAAAAATTTTTTTTTACTTTTCCAATATTATCTCGAAGGCATTGCAATCTATAAGAAAACAATGTATAGCAAAATTGTAGCTAAATAAACAGGCTTTCGAACGATACTATTCTTTTTCCGATGCCAGTATAAATTTCACGGCTAGATCCAAAAATATCTTACCTAACTATCCTTGCCCCATCCTCCCCTACATATATATCTTTACTTTGATAATTAGGGTTCTCGAAGGTTTCTACCTGAAATTTGTTTTGTCTAAACAGCTTTCGGTTGAGGGTTCATAAGATGGTCCATGACCTTTTAAATACTGTCCTGTAAGATGAAGTTGTGTCCCCCACTTTACCAGCCCGGCCCGAACAATCACCATGTGGTTATATGTACTGGAGAATAAGAAGCAAGAAGAAAATTTTTGGTGCCAGCACTAAAATTATAAAACTTTTCAATATTAACATTTACTATTATTGGAGCAATATATGCTCGTAATCGTGAACTTCTGAGGAAAACGAATATGTCAAAATAAATTAAACAATGCTTATAATTAAAAATTTTATAATTTTTTTGAAAAACTCATTAAGCGTCATAAAATAATATTGTCATTAAGCCCGAGAACGCCACACAGGCCCCCGCTGTAATTGACTTACTCGAGGTCTGAGCCCGGGACAGGCCAAAAGAGTGAGGATATACCACTTCCCTTTTTAGGACCCAATCTGTGATTGCTCGATTCGTCCTAACAGCCTTGGGTTGAGGGAAATTTTTTTTATTATTGTATATGCTATATAGATGATAACCGTTTAATCCCCGTGAGTGGAAGTGGTTTATCCATACTTAACTTACCAATATCTATCCCCGAGGACGCCACTCAGGCCTACCGTAATATCTGCCTCATGCGAGAACTTAACATAGGCCCGGATTGGTAGAGTAGGGGTATAACACTTCTCCTCAATGGAGTGAAACGGCTACTGCTGATTTAAGATGCTGATATAAGTCTACCGTTGCAACAACATTGTAGTAGTCTCGCTAAAAAAGCTTCTAATAGTCTCAGGTAACTTAACTTTATTATTATATAGTTTATAATATTTTTCTGCAATTTGTCGATCAATAACTTACTGCATGTGTTGAATCTTCTTATATTATATATGTCTTTTTCATTTTTGTATTGGGCCCAAAAAATATATTCCTATTTTTGTATAGTATTAATAATTATATATGTATTTTGAAGATAAAACATTGATTATTGAATAATTTTTTTATGCATAAAATATGGATATTGCATAATATTGGTATAGAAGATATTTGTTTCTTTTGGTTGTCTTAAATGTTTCATATAAAAAATACTTCAATCCATTTAGTTTTCTTGGTATTTCATAACATTGGCATTTAAGATATTACGATTTTGAGGATAAAGAAAGATATTGCATAACATTAGTATTGAATATATTTTGATAATGCAACAAAAATATTGATTGTTTGATAATAGTGGAAGCTGGCTTTTGGAAAAATTGTTTGGTATTGGATAATTTTGGCATTAAAGATATTTTGATTTTAAGGATAAAAAATGATATTGCAGAATATTAGTATTGAATATATTTTGATATTGGAAAAAAATATTGATTATTTGACCACAGTGGAAGTTGGTTTTTGGAAAATTTTTTGGTATTGGATAAGATTGGCATTAAAGATATTTGGATTTTGAGGATAATAAAATATAATATTGGATAACATTGGTATTGAATATATTTCGATATTGAAAAAAAATATTGACTGTTTGATAATAGAGGATGCTGGCTTTTGGAAAAGTATTTAAATAGATAGAAAGAGGTTTGAATATTGTTTTAAGGGTTGAAGTTGTTTTATGGGTTAAATAATACTTTGTGAGTTGAATATTGATTTGAATATTAATAAAAAGTGCAGAGGAAAATAAGTCAAATAATAATCATTATCGAAAATAATATAATATGGAAAAAGATTAAACAACGCTAATTCACGTTCATGTAAGACTACCATTGTTGCATTAGTTAGCTGAATTATAGTTAATGAAATATTTTATAGGTGGAACACATGTAAGTAAATTTTTTAAAGCAATAAACTAAAATAAACGATTTGTTTTGAAAAATGGCTTTATCAACAGTTTAAAAGTTGAAGAAGGGTACCATGTCGAACATAGAAGAGTATTTTATTTTAAGTAATGAAGATTTTAAAATTATTGAAAATGTAAATGAAATGTTAAATGATATGAATATGTATAAATTTCAAGAATTATTAAAAAATGATTCAAATTCTTTTTTTATTATGCAAAGTACTTTGTATTTAGAAATGCTTGATTTAATTGTTTCAATTAGAGAAAAAGATAAAAATATTCAAATAGTTTATAGCGGTAATAACAATTCTGGTCATTGGATTTGTGTTTATTACGATGGAGTAAGACTTTATATTTTTGATAGCCTTAATGCAGGGTGTTTGAATATTCATCAAATAGAATATTTAATTAGATTGTTCCCTTTTAAACCAACAGAATTTGTTGTAGATGTTGATCAACAACCGATTAATACAGTTAAGTGTGAAGTATAATGCAATAGCATTTGCAAAATCTGTACCCCACTTAAAATTCCCACATAGGATTCCATATGGGAAACCACATGGGTTCCTACATAGGAAGCCATATGGTTTCCTATACAAAATCGTATACGTAATTGAAACAGGAATTTGAATAGGAAATTAAGTCGGAATTATCATATGAATCCACATCCACACAGGAATGTACATTCCTATGTATATTCCTATTTCAATTCCTATAATATGAATTTTTTTTTCAACTTTAAGATATATATCTTTCAATAGTAGAGGTTCCTGATAGACTACAGAGATGAAAAAAATTTATTGCGCAGCCGAAAAAGTTGAAGAAAACTACTGCGCATGATATTAAGATATAATGTGCATTCATATGATAATTCCTACTTAATTTCCTATTCAAATTCCTGTTCCAATTACGTATACGATTTTGTATAGGAAACCATATGGCTTCCTACATAGGAGCCTATGTGGGGATTTTCAGTAGAGTATTGGTTAACAGTGTAAATTTAAAGATTAATTTATGAAACTGCTAATAACACAGGCACACAAAAAAAAAAGTTGTGTTTCTTGAACTACACATATATTTCCTATAGTATTTTGGCCCGCTGAAACCGAATCTGAGCTCAGAATTGCTCCATCACCCTCAGTTTTTTTTAAATCGACCAAAACCACCCTTACACGGACAAATTCACACTTCGGCGATAAAAAATAAATCAACTTATTTTTAAAAAAAAAACAAATTTTACATCTACGAAACTTTGCTCCACTAACTCAAAAACAAAGCCAGCATTGATCCAGCACCCCCTGAATTTTTTTAATCGAAAAAACTACCCCTAATCTGAAGAATCAAATGCAGGAGGTAAAACAATAAATTAACTGATTAAAAAATTTTATAACCAGATATTTTTACTCCAGCAATGCAGAAACAAAGCCAGAAATGCTCCCTCACCCTCTAAAATTTTTTTAAATCGAAAAAACCACCCTTAAATAGAAAAATTCAAATTTAATAAGTAAAAAATATTAAATTACCGGTTTCTTTAAAAACAGAACCTTACATGTATGTAGTTTTGCTCTACTAACTCAAAAAAAAGCCAGCATTGATCCATCACACTCTGAATTTTTTTAATAAAAAAAACTACCCTTAATCTGAAGAATCAAACTTAGGAGGTAAAACAATATAATTATATTGTATTACCTCCTAAGTTTGATTCTTTGGTGGTTTTTTCGATTTAAAAAAATTTTAGAGGGAAAGGGAGCATTTCTGGCTTTGTTTCCGCATTGCTGGAGTAAAAATACCTGGTTATAAACTTTTTTAATCAGTTATTTTATTGTTTTACCTCCTAAGTTTGATTCTTCAGATTAAGGGTAGTTTTTTTATTAAAAAAATTCAGAGTGTGATGGATCAATGCTGGCTTTTTTTGAGTTAGTAGAGCAAAACTACATACATGTAAGGTTCTGTTTTTAAAGAAACCGGTAATTTAATATTTTTCACTTATTAAATTTGAATTTTTCTATTTAAGGGTGTTTCTTTCGATTTAAAAAAATTTAGAGGGTGAGGGAATATTTCTGGCTTTGTTTCTGCCTTGCTGGAGTAAAAATTCCTGGTTATAAAATTTTTTAATCAGTTATTTTATTGTTTTACCTCCTGAATTTGATTCTTCAGATTAGGGGTAGTTTTTTCGATTAAAAAAATTCAGGGGGTGCTGGATCAATGCTGGCTTTGTTTTTGAGTTAGTGGAGCAAAGTTTCGTAGATGTAAAATTTGGTTTTTTTAAAAAATAAGTTGATTTATTTTTTATCTCCGAAGTGTGAATTTGTCCGTTTAAGGGTGGTTTTGGTCGATTTAAAAAAAACTGAGGGTGATGGAGCAATTCTGAGCTCAAATTCGGTTTCAGCGGTCCAAAATGCTATAGGAAATATATGTGTAGTTCAAGAAACAGACAACTTTTTTTTGTGTGCCTGTGTAATATAATGAGGAAGCATTTGATATCATTTTTTGAAAACAATTAATTAAATCATTTTCCGGCAGTTAGAATGTCTAATATTAGGATTTCTATTTGTAGAGAATGATTGGAATTGTCTTTTTATAAATCGAGCTAAAAAACTTCAAAATGGTGAACTAAACCTTTCATTTTTTGTAAAGACTTTTCCCAGTAAAAATGACAACAGAGTTCTGTCTACTGAAACTGAGAATGAAAAGAAAATACCCAAAGAAAAAAATTTGTCCTGTAAGATGAAGAAATTATCTACAGTAATTGAAGAGGGATTTACATGTTGATGTAATAAATTCAGTATGCACAACAGAAAATAATAAGAAAATAATTTCTAGTCTTATTGTTAGGGAAAATTTTGATCCCATGACATATCCTACAATGTTTCCTTATGGTGATCCTGGATGAACTGTTAACCTTAAGCATACTCAAGGTACTTGTAATTTTATTCATTTACAATTTTATATGTATCGTCTTTCATAGAGAAGAAAAAAGCGGAGATTGTCACATGTGCTTTTAACTATATGTTTACGTACACAAATTTGCGATTCAGAATCTTTAAATAAAATGACATATGCTGAAATCACAGACGAAATAAAGAATCCAGAACTTTTTAACATTGTAAAGCGATTTTAAGTTCATGGGCCTTGTGGTAAACAAAATAGGAATTCACCCTGCATGGATCCTGAGATGGGTCATTTAAATGTATTGCTGACAATTCGACGATCGTAGCATATAATCTTTATTTGAGTACAAAATTTAAAGGTCATATTGACTGGGCAATAATAGGTATTATATTATTATAACACCATAATGTTGAAATAGTAATACAGTAACGATTACAAAAATAATATTATTTTTGTGAGATCAAAATTCCAATAAGTGTCCGTCAAATAAAAATAAATTTTTAATTTTTCATAAAAAATTGTAGATATCGCGCGCGTTTACGCGCGTTTCTTTTAGCTAGTTGAAATAATAATCCGGGTATTTAAACATGTATTTAAACATTTCAAGGTAATAATAAATTACAAAATAAGTAGTAAATCAAATATACATTATAACTCTTTATCTAGGACAATTGTAAATAAAATAAATAAATTATTAGAATATAAATATAATTAATTTTTATCTATTGTCTTGCTGGGAAAGGCTATTATAGGGCATGTAATTTTTCACGAATTTAATTATATATTCAAGTTCTTATTATCAGTAACTAAATTATTTTTAATCAATTACACATATTCTAAAATTATTGTTATTCTACATACCTATGTGCTAAATGGCGATCATAACCAGTGTTTTGAATTTCTTTTTTGCACAATAAACATTTTGCACTGGCTCTTTCTTTAGTTTTCATCCTTTCAAATTTTAAATGTTGCCAAGGACTCGTTTGGCCTTTTCGGTTTGATCGATTCATACTCGTAAACTTAAAAATATTTGTTAAATGTCTGACTTTTTATTTATTTTTTTGTTATATGGCTTTTTGCAATGCAGACTTTAATTTACATTATTCTTATTAGGCATTTTATGCAAGCCTGCCGGCCGACATGTTTTTTTTACATTTATTACAGTTTTTTACGTATATTACATTTTTTACTTATATTATGTAAAAAACCTCGAGTTACGCGTCACTGTGCAACCCTGCTTCTCATGATATATTTTCTATTCTACACATTATAAAGTATCGTTTAAGCAAAAAAATAAATTCTTTTTCGGGTTAAAGGTGTCACTTCCCCTTAAAGGGTTAAATGTATCAGAAAAATTTTTCTTCTTGTGGTGGAATTTTTTATGAATTTTGAAATTAATCACTACTTGTAAGGGGTGATTAATTACGCTTAAGGGTAGTTCTTTAAAAGTTATTTGAGAACATTTAAATTTTTTTAAATTAGCCCTTAAATTAATTATTTATAAAATCTTCCAAGAATTTACTGGATTACGTTGAAAAAAATGTTATAAATTTTGAATTTTAATATTCAAGGGTGGTTTTTGGAGTTGTGGGTAGTTCTTTAAAAATTATTTTGGGAAATTAAATATCAACTCAATCTATCCCAAAATATATTTATTTTGTGTTCTGTAAACTAAAGTGTAATTATTTAAGTTGTTACTTACGATTTGCACAACTTCGAGGATCTGGCAACGCAAGTCGTCGCTGTGCTGATACGACAGCAATGATGAATACAATTAAGTAAGTTTTCATATTTTATAACCTGTAAGCAGTCATATAATTATTCATATTACTTTGAGTATAGAATTAAGTTACAATAACATAAAAATATAATAATATGATATCAATTAAAACCTATCAAATGTTAGTTTATTATAAAAACGTTTTTAAAACATTTGATGTTCAGTTTTGTAAAATGTACACTGGAACCTCTGAAATTTGCATCTCCATTTGCAGTTGTTTACCAAAGCTTGGTAAACGCTTCTAACAAAAAAGTGACTTTTTACTACATTTTTTTGTCCGATAAAGTATCACTTTTTAAGGAAATTCCTGACAACTGCCGTAAATAGTATATTACGCATAGAAATAATATTAATTGAGTATATGAGGGGAAAGGTCGCCGTAAGAAAGAGAAAGGTAGAAAATAAAACTACAGGATGTCCTCCTTGAAACTGCGAAAATGCGCAAGCACATAGTTCTGTTCCAATCGAAAAATACGGTAAAACTTTATGATTCAGTTTCGTAGCTGTCGCACATAGGTGACTAGAAATAGGCAAAAATTAGATTTATCTTCTTTCTCTATATAAGAGTTCTAAGACATGGCAGTCACAAATGTTCTAGAAATTTTTTTCCCTTTCTGTTGTAGAAGTACACTACCGTCGGAAATTGTCGGTACGGCTGACGTGCGAGGAGTAGAAATTTTGTGCTGACTTTAAAGCAAGATATTTTAAGTTAGAAAAAAATCAGAGACTTCTAACTTAGATGGTTGGAAAGCTGATAAAATTCTGCTTCTAAATGTATATCAAGAAATTTTTTTTCTTTTTTTTTTGCATATATAACACGGAAAAGATTTCAAGAAAAAATTATGCAATTCTCCTACTTTCGTACTAATGTTTCTGACTCCTGGCATAATCTAGAAAATCTTTGGAAAAATTTGACAATTTTAGAACATAATCTTTAAGGTCTTAGGTTTAATTTGCATTTTTGAAACTTAAAAAATGTTTTGTGGTTCCTGAAATATGTTAAAAAAGGTCCGAGCATGTTTTCCAACAACTCAGCCGTCAATCATTACTTTTCGCAGCCTCGCTGCTGGGTTGTAGAAACACATACACAAACATTTTTTAACATATTTCAGGAACTACAAAACATTTTTTAATTTTTCAAATTTTAACACAATCTTTAAGTTTATAGCTTTAATTTCCTTTTTTGAAAGTTAAAAAATGTTTTGTAGTTACTAAAATATGTTAAAAAATGTTCGAGCATGTTTTTTTACAATCCAGCAGCGAGGCGGTGAAAAGTTATGATTGACGGCTGAGTTGTAGGAAAACATGCTCGGACCTTTTTTAACATATTTCAGGAACCACAAAACATTTTTTAAGTTTCAAAAATGCAAGTTAAACCTAAGACCTTAAATATTATGTTCTAAAATTGTCAAATTTTTCCATAGATTTTCTAGATTATGCCAGGAGTCAAAAACATTAGTACGAAAGTAGGAAAATTGCATAATTTGTTCTTGAAATCTTTTCGGTGTTATATATGCAAAAAAAAAGAAAAAAATTTCTTGATATACATTTAGAAGCAGAATTTTATCAGCTTTCCAACCATCTAAGTAAGAAGTCTCTGACTTTTTTCTAAATTAAAATATCTTGCTTTAAAGTCAGCACTAAATTTCTACTCCCGCACGTCAGCCGTACCGACAATTTCCGACGGTAGTGTATGGTAAAAAATTTAAGAAAATATGTCAAACCTACAATAGTTCTGTAACATGTTAGTCACGAGTGTAGTCAAATGTTTGTTCTTTTTTGTCGTAAAACTACTTTTTAAATTACTCTTTTATTGATAATCACTGACAATATAGTTCCTTCAATTTTTACCTAGAACAGCAAATTATTCTTATTTTTGAATATTCTACTACGTATCATTTTAAAATTACTGTTCAATATATGAGACCTAGACTATGCAAAGGGGGCTTATAGGTTTCAAACCATCTTTTTTTAATTTTTTGACAATTCTAATAGAGTTTTCACCCTACTGGAAATCGCCACGTGGGATCCTATACATATGATCCCATATAGGTTCCTTTATAAAAACTGTTATGAAATCCTAAGCCTACATAGGAATCCACATGGAATTCTATGTAAAATCATATATGAAATTCGGACACGATTTGGTGTATGATTTTATGCAGGAATTTATGATTTTATTTCTACATTATTTCCTATAATTTTTCTAGCATATTATTGTTGTCAATTTCCTTCATAATTAACTCACATCAAATATTATAAAAAATATAATATAAAATTCTAAAGATTTCTTTATATAAAATCTTACATTCAAGTTTTAATATAGGAAACAATATGGGATTTCATATGCATTCTTACAGATGATTTCACATCGAATTAAACATAGGAAATCATATGGGATTCCATGTAGGTTCTGAAATATCTACCTAAGATTTCACATGTAATTACATAAAGGAATCAATATAGGATTTCATGTGGTAATTCTCAGTTGGCTGCTTTATGCAGACGGCAGTTTACAAAAATTAAAAATTATTTAATTAAAAAGTTGTAAATTCAGATGTTCATTACATGAACATTTTGCTTCCTCTTTACGATCAGCAAAAAAATTTGCTTCCTCGTGGAAAAAGCAAAATTTTATTGCCAAAATGTGAATTTTTGATTTTTTAACTTTCATTAATTCTTTAAATTTACCCCAAATGTATACTTTATATATATCGATTGATTCGTCTTGACGTAAGGAATACAATTATGTATTTCATATATAAACTTCAATTTAAAAAATCACAAAATTTTATAGCCAAAATGTGAATTTTTGATTTTTTTAACTTCCATTAATTCTTTAAATTTACCCAAAATGTATACTTTATATATATCGATCGATTCGTCTTGACGTAAGGAATACGATTTTATTATATATAACCTTAAATTTTTCTATTTAAAAATTTTTTCGATTAAAAAAAATTTTTGGAAAAAAGACGATAAAATTTTTTTTTTGGGGTATTTTTCAAAATCCTTTGGTCAGATTTGAGATATTAATATGATAAATGAGCCTACCAAATTTTATCTAAATCCATTAAAACCTGTTAAAGTTATCTTCTAAACAAAAAAGGGATCAACACACACACTTACATACATCCGGACAATTGATCAGGATCTCATATAACATGTTCCTATAAAGAAAAAAATTTGTTTCCGACACTTTGAAAAGTTTTATAAACGAAAGGACTACAAAGCTTACTTCACGAGGAAGCAAAATCAAATAATATTACTGCAATTCCTCTGAAAAGAAAAAAATTTGTGTTTTGCAATACACCTTCTGAGTAAGAGTCTCTGCTTATATAGTATTCAAGACTGATCTCAACTGTGAGAAAAAGAATTATCACCATCTGGCGGTGTAAGAGCGGAATTATGATGATTTATAACTATTCGCTACGGACATGGCCTTGAACATATGCCGGATATGACTATCAGTGCTCCATGTGGCGAAATTAGGCAATTTTCGTTGGACAACGATAATGACAGATCAATAGTAATCAATGTAAATAATATGAATGTTATATTAAAAACGGGGTTTGCTGCAATAAACCATGAAATTGAATTTCGCACAGAAACAATTAAAAAAGGGAAGGCTTTAGCGATGATTCACGTTGTCAGGGTGGAAGAATTTAGAGTTAATGGAATCAGTGAAGCAATTAAAGCAAGTGTGATTCGTCAAACGTCTGTCAATTCTCCTCCTTATTCAGTTAATTTAATGGTAGTTTTTTATTTTAAAAGATATATATATATATATATATATATTGATTTTTAAAATTCCATTTGCACATATGATCCAAAATAATTTATTTAAACAAATAATTAAAGAGAATGTAGGATATAACATAAACTCAAAATTAAAAAATAATTTTTAATGCAAACAAAAACTAAATATAACCTATTTTCAAAGATTTAGTTATAAAAATTTCGGATAAAATTATGTTAATTAATTATTTTTTAACATTTGCCATTTTTCAGAATAAACAAAAATCGAATTTTTTATCTATTTTTTATAAAGGATTAGTTTAAATTTGGAGAAACTTTCTTTACAATCGAAATATTTTTTTAATTGTTAAAAAATTGTAAACAATTCAAATTTTATTTCATAATTAATTTTTTTACAACATATTTTTAACACTTTAAAAAAATTACGATTGAAGAGAATTGTTTCACTAAATAACAAAAACTTTTGGTTCTAAAGTTTGATAAACACTGCAATTTTTTCAGTTCAGAAAAAAGTTCAAATTTGTAAAGAAAATAATTGATTCTATATCAAAAAATGGTTGTTTTTGTTAAATCTAATGAAAGATTTTAATTGAAAAATTTTTTTCCAAAAAGTGCATATATCTAGATCTTTCAAAATTACTTTAAATTAATTTTAAATAATTTTTTATTTATGTTAATAGCCATTTTCACCACCCTCCATAAAAAATGCAACCTAAAATATATTTTCCAGCTTGACTCAAATCGAAAAGTTACTTATGTTTCATGTACATCTTAATAGTTTATAAATTTGGTCGCCGTAGTATATCACAAATAGATTTAATCGTCAGAAACAATTAAATGTCACTTTTTTCTAATGTAAACATTTGACAAGTATCCAACGAAAAATGCGCCACATTGCCACTAGAGGCGCCACCGTGTTTCCGTGTCCGCAGCGAATATTGAAATTTCCCATATAATTTCACATATAATTTCCTACTTGCAAATAACACTACGGAACCCGGACTCACCGATTGTGTTCGGCCAAGGATTTTCAGTTAGAATATGGAAAAATATTAGATACGTATTTTTTTATCTACCAAGGCTCAATTTTAAGGGGTCAGTGACTTTTCTTAAATATTTTTTTTTATTACAAAATTTATTTTATTTACTTTAAACTTTTTATACCTTAAAGAAGGGGTTTTAAAGTATTAAAAAAAATTTGTTATTCCTTATCTATTATGGATTATCTTGCTGTCATGGCCGCCTGAAAATACCCCTACTT